GCACCCGTATCAACGAATACAAATAAGCTATCCGTCTGCGAGTCCCCTGTCCCTCGTCTTTGCCCATGCACTCGAGTACGACCAGCGATTCCGTTGGGATGGCATTGGGGTCGTCGCCATGGCTAACACAAAACGACCGAGGGAATATCTCGAGGCTTGGTACTCCAGTGCTGGTAGTTTCGACCGCCACGTTGACTTTGATGTCCATTACGAAGGCCTACGTTCACGGCTGACTGCCCCCTGCCCTAATCAAGCATCAACGACCGCGAATACAGCCGCCCGCATTCCAAATGATTCACCAACCACACTCCCCGTCCAGCACAGCGTGCCGTAGTTGTTCCGCCTCCTCCCCCTTCCCCCTCACTCAGTGACCTACCATGACCTCGGGAGCCCACCCTCCCCTCACACGTCAGTGGTCTGTCCTATCGCATCAACTGATCTAGTATTACAACCCAACTTTCTCCCTCGTCTTTATTTCGTCTGACAACAAAATGGTGTCACCAGCTCAAAAATGCACGAGTAGAAGTTGAGTTTTCCAAAGAACCTCTTCTACTTTTTCATTAGTTCAACTCGGAATGCATACTGCCTCTGATCTCCAGTGTTTAATATATCCAGAACCGCAAATAACCATTCGGTGATGCTCATTTATATAACATGAAATAAGATTTTCCAAACGACAAAACTATTTCAACCCACTTAAACGAAGGAATCCTTATCCGCGTTACTGCTGCTCTTTAGAGCACCAAATCACACAAATCTGCCAATTTCACTTTTGCAAAATTTATGAAACCGCTGGTCTTCTTAAAATAACCTTTGTGTTTGCAAGTTGCTTACCATGGTTAGTATCGGACACAACATATATTTTCAAGTCCAACTTGATCTGTTTATTAAAAGTCCTGCGGGAAAATTACTATCTTTTTAATGAAAAAGTCGCCCAAATGCGTAACCGTCGTCTAAGATATGTATTTGCAAAGGGAAATTGCATGAATATATTCCAACGTCCATTTTCGCTAAAACTTACAGAATATTGGACTTTATATAATTACGCAAACACTATTTTCACACAAGAAAAGGATATTTTATTGAGATAAGTGGATGAACAAACAAACCGGGCAACCTCAAAAGCGTCCAGAAATTATCGTATTAGTTTCCACTACCAGATTTCATGAGATGGGTAACATACTGTATGCGTTGTATCACTGCAGACGACATTGCCCACCGCGTGCCTCAGACATCGGCTGCTGAAGAACGGCAGTACGGATGTGATTTGCGCCAAACCAGCTGCACACGCCTCCCCCCACCCACCCGGAACCTTGTGAGAGTAGAGTAAGGACTGCCGCGGGGAACATGGGCGCAGTGAGTGACTTAGCTACGTACATGGTGTTTGAGTTGTGGTTTTCCCTTGTTGGCATACCAAACCGCAATCCTTCGTCTTTGGTAGCAAACCGATTTCCTTAGCTTACCATTTTCGTAGGAAATTTTTACTGACTGCTTGATATTCTTTCGGAGTATGCTTATTGCTGTGAGTCGAAACTCTAATTGCACAAATTGTCATGCAATATTAGAAGCCTGTAAACTGATTGCCCTGTTACATGAAAATGAAATATACACTGCATGCCGTACCTCAGGAAACCTTATGAAAGACGTTGGGCATTTATCTCGCTCGTCTAACGTCTTCAGGGAAATGTCTTTTCATGTACAGAAAATGTGTCTACCTACATTTATCAAGCAAGATTCTCATAAATCTGAGCAAAAAGGACGTTGCAATATATTTGGACAATATTTTGTACTAATATCTGTCGGTGGCGCATCCGAGCGGGGTTTAATTTGGTAGGAGGGTAACATATTCTGGAGATATTTGCTAAACAGTGCCTTCCGCACCTGAAATGAAACTTTTATCGGATGCTTACCGGTGGAATCAGTTTGATAATATACAGGTCAATTTTAGACAATTAGGGATCTTAACGACTTGGGAAATCACATTAGCAGAGCAGTGCAATATGGTGCCCTAAAATGCAGTAATGTCATAAACAGGCAATCCATCGTTCGAAGTGGCTAAAATTGTTTTACTGTTTTGAAAGCGACATTGTCGCCACAGAAATAACTACCATCGACTAATTATTTTTAAGTTTTAGCGTGTGCAACATGGAATTTCGCGCGGCCGGCCTTCTGTACATAGGTAATTTGGAAACGGAATGAGCAAAACATTAGCAATTGCAGCAAAATATCGTTAATTATGTGGCCATTTTGGCGATTATTCATAATCACATAACGAAACCTGGTAGCAAACAATGACGATGGAAATAAACGCAATATAAAAAGAGTGACATTTTCTTACGTTTGCTTAGAAAAATATTGATGCGTACTAGCAAAGTGAAATAAACGGCCAGAAGTATCTGATTTTTCTTGGTTTCACGGACAAACATTAAAGTGCGCAGACATCCGTTAACAGATTGTAGTATTGAGGCACTCCTTAAAAGTTACTTTAGTTGGAAAGCCTTTCTAATTGATAAAAAAACATATTCGATGGTGACTTTTGTTGGGGACATTTACATTATTCAAAGATGAGGTTTCAGGTTTGGGTTAGTCTTCAGATGTGACTCACACTATCTTTTGCACAAAACGGAGCGACCAAGCACTGGCTACGTCGATAAATGACTTCACGAAGTAACTTACTATAACGGTTTTTACAAGCATGTAATACGGAGTCTATTTTTATGAATAATCGAATAAAAACACTGAAAATCAGGAAAGCTTTTGCGATTTTTTAATGCTGACCTGTAACTCGACGTAACATAGGAGAAAATAAAAAGAGAAATTATCTGTACTGAAGAAAAGGCCTCTTTATGCCCACAAAGTGATATATTTACGATTATACCTGTCAATTCTATTTGAAGTCATTAGTTACTGACCCGACTGACAGCTCTTTTGAACACTTTCTTACCTAGGACGTGCCTATCTGCGAAATCAAGCAACATCATCTTCGCTTTATCGAACCGCATCGCGCTCAGTTCAGAGCCGCAAAGAGTACCACGAATCCTCCAGAGATCGCCTTGGCGTCTATACCTGGAATGTAAAATGTTGGCGTAACCGTAAGCACGAAATTATATTAATTCCTGAAAGCTGGTTAGATGCGTACTTCACGAAAACGGTGTTTTTGGATGTTATTTTCTTTATGCTATCCTAGTTACCTGGTATTTTGCGTAAGCGAACATTCTATACATTGAAGAGTGATGTTTACACAATTACGACTATTACTAACGTTCTCAGCGTTTTCTGCTATCCTGACAAGTGGACAGTTCTAAACAACATAGCATTGTGTCCAATATCTATTTTCTTGTTTTTTATTCCAATAAAGTCTTTATTTGCTAACAAAGATATTGGGTTCACGAGCTGGTGTCGACTTCCGAGTGATTAATAATCATTGACAAATCTCGGCACAACCCGTACAAGCGTGTATCAGAGAAATGGGGTTAGCCGGTTGGCACAGATTTTTGGGTCAATGCATACGTGGCATGCAGAATAGAAAACCCACTGCTTAAAACATTCATTGGAAGACACAGGCTATTCAGTATTCTGGATCACGCGCACAGCTAATTAGTCTGGCATAACACCCAAATATGTCTACAGCACTTCTCATCGAAAGAAGCTTGTCCCACCTGACATTTTAGTCTCGAATATGAAGGCTTTTGCGCTTGTGTTTTTAACATGCGCACTGAGACTATGCACGGGTTGTTCGACTACGGGACGCAGAACAGGCAAATGGGGTAAGGATGTTGCATGTTTAAGGACTGGGAATCAGCGTTTTCCGGAAATATAGAGGAGGATTGGAAATTGTTCAGTGAATTATTGCATGTTCTCCTGACAAACCACTGCCCGCTTTCACGGAAGGGGCTAAACAATCGACCCCGGTGGCTGACCCAGGCGTTAAAAAAGGAAATAAAGAAAAAACGGAGATTGTGGCAGAAATCTCTTACTGATGGGACTCCTGTATCCATAAACGCATACAAAATACAGAGGAACTTAGTCAAGCGGCTGACCCTCAGGACACGGCAAAATTTTGAAAAAGACCTATTGAATCGTGCTATGGAAAATCCAAAATTATTCTACAGCTACATAAGAAGCAGCACACGAAACAGAGATCCAATCCCCCTCCTGAAGACAAGCGAAGACGTAGAGATGAGTGAGGATGGAGAAAAAGCTGAGCACTTTTCACAATTTTTCAAATCCATCTTTACTAGTGAAAGTCCATTTACTCCTCCCGACTAGGACTTCGATGAGGGTCCAAAAATTGAGTCTGTATCTTTTGATGAAAAGACGGTTCGCAAAGAGCTAATGACGCTAAATGAGTCGAAATCACCAGGTCCAGACGACATACCGCCTAAGTTACTGAAGGAGCTCGCTGCCGAACTAGCCAAACCATTGTCCATGCTTTTCCAAGCCTCGTTCGAAGCCGGCGGCTTGCCCGCCGACTGGAAATCTGCGCGGATCACACCACTGCATAAAGGAGGCAGCAAGGCCTCTGCAAACAATTACAGGCCAATTAGCCTCACTTCCATCTGCTGCAAACTCATGGAGAAAATAATCAAGCGAGAGCTGATGCGCTTCCTAGAGCAGCATAATTTATTATCTGATGCGCAGCATGGGTATTTTAGTGGCAGGTCTTGCGTGACTAACTTGCCCAACTGTTTGGAACGTTGGACTCGGTCAGTTGATGAAGGCAATGCGCTGCATGTAGTCTACATCGACTTTAAAAAGGCATTTGACAGTGTCCCACATCAGCGACTCCTGCACAAACTGAGCCGAACAGGCGTTACGGTAACCTCTTAAAATGGATTCAAAGCTTCCTATTAGACCGTTGTCAAACTGTCCATGTCGGTGGCCAGAAGTCGACGGAGGTTGCCGTTGAAAGCGGTGTTCCCCAAGGCTCAGTTCTTGGCCCTACTTTGTTCATCATTTACGTCAACAATTGCGTGAGTGGACTGGATTGTGGTGTCGCCATGTTTGCGGATTACATTAAGCTCTGGAGCGTCATTCGAACTGCAAATGACGAAGAGCATTTGCAGGCGAACCTAAACCGACTCCAACAGTGGTCAAAGGCCTGGCTTCTGCCGTTCAACGAGAAAAAGTGCAATATTCTACGAGTCGGCAGAGCTCGCTCTCCGAACCATATGGCCTACTGCCTAAACGGTATACCACTGCAAGAAGTGGACTCGCAGAAGGACATGGGAGTATGGATTACGACCTCGCTCAAACCCTCGCTGCACTGCACGAAGATAGCCAAGTCTGCAATGTCAGTCCTCTACCTTGTCAAGCGGGCTTACTCTGCCTTTGATGAAGACTGCTTCGCTAAAGTCTTTCGAACTTTTGTGCGTCCGCAACTAGAATTTGCTATCCAAGCTTGGAGACCCTGGACCGCGAAGAACCTCAGCATCCTTGAAAGGGTTCAAAGGCGTGCAACGAAACTTGTGGCAGGACAGGGTTCACTACCATATGCAACGCGGTTAGCTAACCTTGATCTCTTTCCCTTGAGTTACAGGCAGTTACGGGGTGACCTGATACAAGCCTTCCGTATTATACGCGGTCACGACTGCAGCCTCGTACCGGGGGACTTCTTCGAGTTAGCAACCACCACAAATCTACGAGGCCATCCATTCAAACTGCGTGTGACAGGGGCCAGACTGGACACACGAAAGTTCTTCTTCTCCAACAGAGTGCTAGAAGCCTGGAAAGCCCTGCCTGTGGATGTCGTTATGTCTGCTTCCGTCGAGGTCTTTAAGAGGAAGCTGGATTTGTGTAGCAGTGTCCACTAAATTACCACCCCGATCTTTGTAACCTCGACAAATTCCGTTATTATAATACTACTTGCTATATTTCAGTAACATTTTAGATTGAATGTATTATTGTGCCAACTCATCGCCTACGCTTACTGACATGCACATATGCAAATTTTGTCACCGGATATATTATTTATTTCGCTGCACTCGAAACGACAGCTCTACAACTGCTCGTACCACTAAAATTCGAGACAGTTTGTTTGTCTGTACAGACCTGACGCTTTTCCGATTATTTGTTCCTTTATGATTCCTTTTCGAGTTTTTGAGATTTTGCAGTTGCATGTACACAAATAGGGAGTTCAAAGGTGAAGACCTGCATTTTCCTCAATAAACTGAACTGAAGTGAACTTATACTGATCTAGGTACATTTGTACTTTAAAATTAATAAAATAATAAAAACAAGTCATAACATTGTACAAAGCACGACTAGCTAAGATTAATTAGCCAATGTGGAAAAATTAATGTTAGTTACGTCGGCACAACTGGGAACGAAATTTCATTTCGGTCCGGTAGCAAAACAGTCCGGGGCATTTGGAACCCTGAATATTTGGGGCAAAACTCCATTGCTGTCATCGAAATGCATGGGGGTTCAGTGTAGACTTTCGTCCGTTTCACTCAGATCCACATTCTTCAGGAATTTTATGCTCGATGTTAAGTGAAAAAGGCCATTTGTTCCCTCTTGGCTAACAAGCATTGTCTATGAACAATTTCTTACTATTCTATTTTTGTACACGAGATGTTAATCGAAACCTAATATTATCCCCAGCGAGAAGGCGTATCTCCCGTAACTTTTGACGCTTCGCGGAAAAATTAAAGAGAATTGCCTACATTGATGACATAGACAACACGCGCCTTGTCACTGAGATAGCCGGTTGATTTAATTTACGACTGACGTTTCCAGTGGGTGATGACACATCCCTTATGTGATACAGTGCAGTCTAGGGCATGTAGAAGTATTTTTAACTCCTGTACTAATATATGCATCGGGCAGCCGGTTGTAATAAGCCCGAAAGTATATAATAGAATACCGCCGACGTTCCACCAATGCAACCGAATAATTAAAAGAATTAATAATTTTATGCATGTTTTCCATGAAATATAATTGAATTTTCAAGGGCATCGGAAATTCCATACTACTTAAGTAGTCATTTTTGAAAAGTATAGATCTTTCATGCAGCTGCAAATAAGTTCTTTCGAAAGTGGACACCCTGAGGTAACTGGATCATTATAGATTTATGCCGCATCATGGTTAGGTTTACAATATTACTTAATTTATCTTTCCGAAACGAGAACGCTTTTCGAAATTTTGATTGACATTTCATGAGTTAGCACATCTACGTGTCCAGTGCTCGCGTGGAAAGCTGTTGAACATTTGTTAAGCCACGAAGTATAAAACGACAATTGCGATAATTATCCGTTTTCATATGCCATTGGCGATATATGTACGCAGTGGTTTCCTCGAACGTGTCCTCGTGGATGCTTGTTAAATGCCGATAAATCACACCGGCTGAATCGTCCTAATTTGTGAGTGTCCTACGAGCATGAGGGTCCAGGAGAGTGCACCTTCTTCGGATACGTCTTCGTGCCACCTGCTTCTCCTATGTGCTTCATATAATAGTATAAGTTCGGATGCATAATAGCGCGGTGTCTTGATGAAGTGCGGGGGTGAGAGAGTAAGAGGAATTCGTTTTATTTTGAAACCATTGATTGACAGTGTCAAGCATATAACTATGCATTTAACTATGCGGCTGTGAGGATTCACTTTTATGTTTTTGAAAAAGCATCGTCAGCGAAGTATTGCAACATCAAGCCAGATTCTTCTGCCGGAATTTTACTATCTAATTTACGCAGTGGCGTTTTTAACGACCAGTTTTGCAGCTTCTTCAAGTAAAAATGCGAAATCTAATATAAACGATTTTATCGAAGGAATGTGCCCGATAACGTACATATGAAATATAGCTGCTGCGTATGTCCAAATTAAACCAAAAATCAAAAGAAAAAGGTGTACGTGTTGCAGGCAAAAAATCGCATTTCAAACAATAATCCGCCGAGTTAGTGCACATGTCAGCAAAACCCTTCTTCAATATTCGCATGCAGTATTCACAATGCCAGGAAAATTACTGTAAGTTAGGCGATCTTATACGATAACTATTCATTTAAAACTTGAAACACCAAGATAGTTCAAAAGGTTTTAGATATTAACATGACAGTCGTAGCAAACAGGAATATCTGCGCATTGACGGTAAACATGTGGAACCAGCACACATTTCCCCTAATGCGAGCTTACGGGTTTTGATTTATTTAGAAAGGGTTAACCATAAGAAATAAACGAAAAAATACTCCATGGCGTATGCACAGTAAGCTACGCAAATCGTGAAATATGCATAGTTTCACGATACGTTTTATCTGTTTCTAAAGTGTTCAATATTCTTGAAAATCCCATCTGGTTGCAAACCCAACTCAAAGGCACTGCAGAACGCACTATTACGATGGTCACTGATTGTTGCTCTTTTAAGAAAAGTGGCAGCAATTTGAATGTTTTTGGCCGGTAAGAAAACTGGCAAAAATATAAAAATACAACAAGTGAATGACGAAAGTATTCTAAATAAATCATCATTTGAGAAAAAGCAAATTGAGTTAAACTATTAGTATATGTAAGAGTATTATACAGCCTTTAACGCAACGTCCCTCTTATTTCAAAATTGCGTATTAAAAGGAACTGGGCCACAAAAAATTGCAGCATGTAGGAATTTAAAACAGACCTCTGACAACTTGCTTGTTTGCGCAGACACCGATGATAATATCTGACGAGTAGTAAACAATCCCTTATATTTCTAAGAATCTTCGTCGTAGTTTCTCGTGCTTGGGTTTCTTTCCGATGTAACCGAAAGCTAAAATTGCCGCATAGAAGCTGAAATGTCTGTCAAAGGGTATAGGTTGTACGCATGATATTTCAAAATGACATATTGGATAACACTCGATTGAAAAGCACCATTTTGCCACAGGCAAGAATGGATGCGGTTGCCGGATATTTGTCTTTGCTGGCAATCTCAGATGGTTTGAAAATGGACTTTGGAAACCGGAATTTTTGATAAAGGTGTTGTTACTATTTGCATGAAGATAGACCATCCTTTTTCATTTTGCCCCATAACATTTACGCAGGTCTTTAATCATGTTAAACTTTTATTTCGGTAGCTACGTTAAATTCTGACTGTTAAAAGTTAAATTAAATACTGGATAAACAAGAACTGAACATAGCTTTGATATAGAAAACGAAGGAAAGTACGCGATGCCCTGTTTTTTCAATGATAATGGATGCGATACACATCGCAAATTTTTATACTAATAAAAACGTTGAAACATATTCAACATGATACACACGCATTTCCTGAAAAGGCGGCGCACAGGCACCGAAATTGCAGAGCTTTTTAACTTATGCATTATGCGTATAATTCTGTGATTTTAGATCCATTAAAAGGTGGAGAAAATATCAACTTGCATATTGCTGTTAAGTTCCTAAAGATTCTTACATCTCGCCTGGACTACTACCAACCCATAACGCTGCCAGAGTGTGTCAGCAAAGCATACGGTCATTTAATCAGTTTCATCCTGAGTAATGGGTACCGATGCGACAAGGCATTCGGCAGGGCGGAAGAACATTTAGGCATTTATCACTGTTCGGTGGATATACATGCCTCCGTCATGACATCTAACGTTATGGCAACGCCACTTACATGGGACGAAAGTTGGAGTAGCCTACACAATGCCATTTACGCTGACAGTTACCAAGTCATCATATCCACGCCAACTTTACGCTAGTTCACACAAAACAAGGACTTTGGGAGAAAGTGGAATTCGCGTCCGAGCAGAGCCTTTCCTACAAATCGAATATCTACAAACCGGATTGTAAAGCATACGAAATTAATAGGCAAATCTACACAGAAGAGGAACTCAACGTCCTTTCGACGTTGTGGGGCCTACTGCAATATCGGTGGCCGTATGGAAGATCCTTTGCACTGTAGAATGTCAGTGTAAGTCGCATAGTTGTTTTCAGTTCTCAGGGACAGAAATATATAATATCTGTGGATCACATTGTTTGGTTTTTTATTCCCTGCAAGTGCTGTATCTGCTAATAGTAGGGATGTTGCCAATAAAATGTAAAAATATTTAATAGAAACAATCAGGTGACAGAAATATTAAAAGCTATCTGAATCAGGGCGCGGTCTGCATTTACGGTGCATTTTCTTCCCCAAATTCGTCACCAGAGTGAAAATTAAGCAAGAGATGTTTTAGATGGCGTCTGGTTAATTTTTCCTTAAAATGAGCATGTACGGCCGAACTTATAAAGTACCAAGTCCTGTCGTATGGATATGCGCGAAGGAATATGCAGCCGGTCTTGATTGTGGTAAATTCAGTCAGAACGCCTTTTGTATGACAGTTCGACCGTCGTTGCCGACGATGTCCACTATGTGCACCGCAGTGAGGTGAGAGCAGGCACGGTAACTTGCGCGTGAATTAATTTATAGTTATATCAGATTTTCGCAGCATCCATCGCGCACCCTTATCCTCCTTCCGCACCTGGTCCCCCTGTCAAGACCAAGGCAAAAAGACTGGAGGCAGGAGAATCCGGAGGTGGCTCTCACGGCGTAAACCCGCACCTACAGTGCGTGGCCGATCTCATGAACTGTTGGCCAAAGTTCTGGAATGCATTCCCGATTGGGAAAAATTACTTAAGTGGGTTTTTTATACTGATTATCATGCAGCATAACCCTATAACATTTCGGACTCACCAAGATGTCGGCTTTTGAATGCACGTCTTTTTAACCTCTATCAGAAAATGACTACTTAAGTAGCATGCATTTTTCCAGTTGATTTTCGATGTTCTTATAAATTCAAATACATATTTTATAGAAAAAGTGCAGAGAGTATGCTCTATTTTGCTCATTTGGTAGGAAATCATATTGTCTTCATATTTG